TTGTCCACCCAAAACACATTTCTAAGCCTTGATTCTTCGTCCACATCCATGCTAAAGAAAAACCCGTCATTCTTTGCTTGCATCTTGTTAAAATATCCTTGTATTGCCTCTGCATCTCCGAGGCCAAGTCTTAATCGTCTAAACTCTTCAATGTAATTTCGACAATCCTTCTCTATAAAGCCAAGTTCTTCATATCCACCCGCTTCCACAACAGCCGCTTGAAAACTCTTGTGCAAGGGAATTCTAGCCTTGTCATTAACCTCAAGCTGCTTTTTAACACTAGCAGGCACACTACGATTACAACGATATATTCTAGATTTAATAGGATTCAAGCCATGGTTATGCAATAACTGCACAACGGAGATCTTCCATATTCCATCACCATCACATGACGCAGTTACTCTTGCTTCACATCCCATCTTGTGTTTTGCTCTTTTTATTTCCTTGTCGACTACACACAAATGTAACACTTCTAGGAGTTCCATCTTTGGCTTTGCGAGTTGTACTAGTCCGCATTGGAAATCCTACACTTCGAGCATAAGCCAGATAGTGTTCTCGAATTTCTTCAATGCTTGTAAATTTCATCCCCACTTCAGGCACGCTCCCTTTGTTTCCTTTAGAAGGATATTGACCATTGTTCCAGACATCATTGTTAATGTCATCTGTGTTCTGTGGAATCTCACCACTCGCATGTTCTTACCCTTCATCGTTAAATAAATACTGAAAGCAAGGATCGTTTAGAAACAAATCTGGTTCAAAAGCTGCAAAAAACAGTACCTTTAATATAATAAAATACCTGATTATGAAGAAAACAATAATACACCAAATGCAGAGTGAATACAGATAATTAGCGTCTGTGACAAGGACAAACCCTAGATTCACAGAACTTTAATCTCTGTAACACGAAAACATAATAGTTTTTTTCGCTACTTTAAATGAATATAGAATGGGGTCTAAATATCAACACTTACATTTGGGCTGCAACTCATATAAAACCAGGTCTTCTTCTTCACCACCAAAATCATGTGGTTGCTCATTCTCAACATGTGTAACAATAGATGTTTGTAAGTCCATAATCACCAAATATCCTATGTACTCTACAAAAATTCAAAAAATTATTGCCATAGAAATTGACTAAAAATGGAATGAAGAGAAGAGATTGACAGAGGAATTGTCGTGCTACAGGGGTTGGCGCATCAGAGATATGAATGGGAAGATAAGAAAAAGAAGAG